CCTCTAGCAGTGACCGACACACCAAGATGTCGGCACCATGTTAATGTTTTCGAGTTCCTCCAAAGTCTAAATTTAAAGCATATGCATTTATACTGACACACTTAAATGTGTTTATACATATATTTTGTGTGTTCTTATATTGTAAAACCAGGGTAGCCAATACTACCTGTGCGGTCTGTGCTTAGCTCTGGAAAGAGGAGGCTAGGACACAGGACTACACACACAAACACTTTTTTTTTTTTAAGACTACAAAATTTCTCTATTTTAAATACAGTAATAGTTGTGCGTTTAAATAAATCCTTAGTAAGAAAAAAAGTTAATCAACAGCCTGAGAGTAAAGAAGGTACCATAAGGTGTTAGATCATGCAATTTCAAGTTCTCACATTGCTCTGAAGTTGTATAAGGTCCGGTGTTAAGTGGTTTTAACTTTTGTCAATGGGCAAATGCCACTTGCTTTTGTCTGCCTCCCATTGTGGAGATATTCTATCAATTGAATCCTAGATTGTAAGCTCGAAAGAGTAGGGCCCTCTAACCCCTCGTGTGCTGTTTGTTGTTGTTGTACTGTTTCATGTATTGTCCCCCCCTCTATTGTACAGCGCTGAGCAAACCCTTTGGCGCTATATAAACTCGATGTAATAATAATAGAGATGAGCGAATCGAACTTGGCGAAGTGGAATTCGTTTCGAATATTAGGAAAATTTCGATTCGCGACAAATCCGAAAATTAGCAGACTTCGGATCGAAATTTTTCCAAAAATGGCAGCGACATGTGCGGCGACGGAGCGGGGATCTCTGGGAAGGCGCGCAGACAAGGCGCGCTGACCCATAATGCATTCATTCATGACATGTGATCGCATTAGCCAATCAGCAGCTAGCCAGCCAGCACTGTGTAATGGTCGAGCTATAAATTGCGGCCATTTTAGAATTTTCCATTTGCCTCCAGTCATTCAAGAGAGGCAGACCTGGCTGTATTGAGGGAGAGAGTTAGGGACACAGAACCGTTACTTAGGGCCACAGAACCGTTACTTAGGGCCACAGAACCGTTACTTAGGGCCACAGAAACGTTACTTAGGGCCACAGAATCGTTACTCAGGGACAGACACAGAATTGTTACTGAGGGACACAGAATTGTTACTCAGGGACACAGAATTGTTACTCAGGGACAGACACAGAATTGTTACTCAGGGACAGACACAGAATTGTTACTCAGGGACAGACACAGAATTGTTACTGAGGGACACAGAATTGTTACTGAGGGACACAGAATTGTTACTGAGGGACACAGAATTGTTACTCAGGGACAGACACAGAATTGTTACTGAGGGACACAGAATTGTTACTGAGGGACACAGAATTGTTACTCAGGGAGGGACGCAGAATTGTTACTCAGGGACACAGAATTGTTACTCAGGGACACAGAATTGTTACTCAGGGACACAGAATCGTTGAATTAAAGAGTATGTCAGACAACATGCAGAGGAGTGGCAGAGGAGGCAATGTTTTAGGAGCGAGCAGACGTGGCAGCAGAGGAAGGGGTCGAGGCAGCACTAGTCGCAGCCAGAGGCCAGTGCTCCCGGTGTCATCCAGCGGTCGTGTCTCCACCGACAACCCTGCCGTCATCGATTGGTTGGCTCGGTCGTCTTCCTCTTCCCAGGTCACCTCTGACACCTACAGCCAACGGTCGGTGGGTACGTCAGACACAACCATTAGTTGGCATGCCCGGGAGCAAGCCCACTGAAATCACGTGTCCTCTACCTGCCCCTGTCCTTTGGTGTTCCCTCACCAAGCAAAGTATCGCATGCTGTGGGCTCAGCCCCACTGTACAGTGAGGAAGAGCTAACAGAGGGCGGTCAGGAACGGGGGGAGACATCCGCCTCTTCAGCAGCCAGGCGAAGAAGTAGTGGCGAGGAGAGTGGCTCGGTAGCCGGTCTAGAGACAGGTCTGTCTCCTGACCCACACGCAGCCGAGGGGGCTAGTAGTGAGGCGGAGACCCTAATTGATGATGATGAGGCTGATCGCACTTGGGGATCTCTGGGAAGGCGCGCAGACAAGGCGCGCTGACCCATAATGCATTCATTCATGACATGTGATCGCATTAGCCAATCAGCAGCTAGCCAGCCAGCACTGTGTAATGGTCGAGCTATAAATTGCGGCCATTTTAGAATTCTCCATTTGCCTCCAGTCATTCAAGAGAGGCAGACCTGGCTGTATTGAGGGAGAGAGTTAGGGACACAGAACCGTTACTTAGGGCCACAGAAACGTTACTTAGGGCCACAGAAACGTTACTTAGGGACACAGAATTGTTACTCAGGGACAGACACAGAATTGTTACTCAGGGACAGACACAGAATTGTTACTCAGGGACAGGACAGACACAGAATTGTTACTGAGGGACACAGAATTGTTACTGAGGGACACAGAATTGTCCAGCCGCACCAGCAACTTGGACAGGTCACGTCGCTTTTGCCTCCACGTTTGCACGTCCTTGGTCCACAAAAGATGTCCGCCTCTACCACCTCTTCTTCCGCCGTGTCCTCAGCCGCCACCCCCGTGCCAAGTCCCATTACCCGACCGGCATATCACATGTGCAGGGCGCAACGGTGTCACGCTGTGCTGCACCTGGTATGCCTTGGTGAACGTAGTCACACAGGGGAGGAACTTCTGAGTGTAATGAACAGAGAAATCGACGGATGGCTGTCTCCGCGCAAACTGAAAATCGGAACCATGTTGACCGACAACGGAAAGAACATGGTGTCTGCTCTGCGTCAAGGAAGGTTGTGCCATGCGCCATGCATGGCTCACGTGTTCAATCTGGTTGTCAAGCGGTTCCTAAAATCCACCATCCCACTGCAAGACATCCTTAAAATGTCACGTAAACTTTGCATGCATTTCAGCCATTCCTACACCGCAAAGCACACCCTCCTTGAGCTGCAGCGGCAGAACGGAATTCCACAGCATCGCCTGATCTGCGACGTTGCAACAAGGTGGAATTCAACCCTACACATGTTAGACCGCCTTTACGAACAGCGAAAGGCCATCACCGATTTCCTGATGTTACAAGCGGATAAAGGTACTCCCCTGTGTAACTTTGATGTCAGCCATTGGCAGCTCATGCGTGACACCTGCCGCTTGCTCAGGCCCTTTGAGGAGGCCACGCTATTCGTGAGTCGGGCAGGACTATGGGATGAACGACGTCATTCCTCTGTTGCACATCCTGGAACAAATGCTGTTAACAATGGCTGGTCAGGGTGCGGTAGACGTGGCGCACAGATCTCAACGCCACATGACCCCTGTGGGGGCAGGACAGGAAGAAGAGGAGGAGGGTAGAGGAGGACATTTGTGCTCAGGAATTATTGAGTGAAATGGGTGGTTTTTCCACTCAGCGGACAGGAGTGGAGGAGCAGGAGCATCTGGTAGAGGAGGAGGAGGAGGAGGAGACAGAGGACCCAGACGCACCGTGGCAGTATGCTGTGGAGATGGAGGCAGGGAGTCCCTCGCATTCCTTGGCACAAATTGCCCATAGCATGCTCGGTTGCTTGCGTAGCGACAGCCGAATAATAACCATCAGACAGAAGGATGACTTTTGGCTGTCCACCTTGTTGGACCCTCGCTACCGTTCAAAAATGGTGGCCTTTTTCACACCTGCTGAGAGGGAGGCCAAAATAACGTACTATAAAAACCACCTATGTAGTCAGTTGGTCTCTGCCTTTCTGCGCCAACGTCCATCCTCAGACACTGTGGGCCCTGTGCGCTCGCGTTCCGCTGCCATGGCAGCAGGGGGAGGGGTGGGGTGGTAGGAGCAGTGGCAGCTCCACCAGCAGCGGCTGCCTCAGTCTGCAGTCGATGATGAGTAGCTTTCTTCACCAGCGCAGTGAGGAAACTACTAACCAGCCGCAGCAGCAGCAGCATCAGGTGGACCTGGAGCAGGACCTCAAACAACAGGCTTGGGCCTACTTGGACAGCACCCTGCCAACCGAGGTAGACAATCCCCTTGACTACTGGGCAACGAAACTTGACCTTTGGCCCCAACTAGCTGAATTTGCCCTTGAAAGGCTGTCATGCTCGGCCAGTAGCGTGGCATCGGAGCGCGTGTTTAGTGCGGCAGGAGGTATTGTAACTCCGCGGAGGACACGACTGTCCACCCAAAGTGTGGAGAGACTCACGTTTGTGAAAATGAATCAGGCGTGGATTAGTCTGGATTTCAAAACCACCAGTTCCTGACACAACTGACTAAATCCGCCATGAATCATGCCCCAAACATGTGCCACTTTCAGGTCTCCTCACACTGCTGGTGTGTTCCATTTTTTGTCATAGGGTGCTGGCAGATTACGGGCCTCCCATTTCTGCTGCCAGGCCTGTAATCTGCCATGGGCCCCTGTACCGCCTCTTCATGCTGCTGCTGCCAGGTCCAGAGTGTCTCATGGGTCCCTGTACGGCCTCCCATTGCTGCTGTCTCCATCGCCACACTCTGCCATGTGCCACTTTCAGGTCTCCTCACACTGCTGGTGTGTTCCATTTTGTCATAGGGTGCTGGCAGATTACAGGCCTCCCATTGCTGCTGCCAGGCCCGTAATCTGCCATGGGCCCCTGTACCGCCTCCTCATGCTGCTGCCAGGTCCAGAGTCTCTCATGGGTCCCTGTACGGCCTCCCATTGCTGCTGTCTCCATCGCCACACTCTGCCATGTGCCACTTTCAGGTCTCCTCACACTGCTGGTGGTGTTCCATTTTTTTGTCATAGGGTGCTGGCAGATTACGGGCCTCCCATTTCTGCTGCCAGGCCTGTAATCTGCCATGGGCCCCTGTACCGCCTCTTCATGCTGCTGCCAGGTCCAGAGTGTCTCATGGGTCCCTGTACGGCCTCCCATTGCTGCTGTCTCCATCGCCACACTCTGCCATGTGCCACTTTCAGGTCTCCTCACACTGCTGGTGTGTTCCATTTTGTCATAGGATGCTGGCAGATTACGGGCCTTCCATTGCTGCTGCCAGGCCCGTAATCTGCCATGGGCCCCTGTACCGCCTCCTCATGCTGCTGCCAGGTCCAGAGTCTCTCATGGGTCCCTGTACGGCCTCCCATTGCTGCTGTCTCCATCGCCACACTCTGCCATGTGCCACTTTCAGGTCTCCTCACACTGCTGGTGTGTTCCATTTTTTGTCATAGGGTGCTGGCAGATTACGGGCCTCCCCATTGCTGCTGCCAGGCCCATAATCTGCCATGGGCCCCAGTATCGCCTCCTCATGCTGCTGCCAGGTCCACAGTGTCTCATGGGTCCCTGTACGGCCTCCCATTGCTGCTGTCTCCATCGCCACACTCTGCCATGTGCCACTTTCAGGTCTCCTCACACTGCTGGTGTGTTCCATTTTTTCATAGGGTGCTGGCAGATTACGGGCCTCCCATTGCTGCTGCCAGGCCCGTAATCTGCCATGGGCCCCGTACCGACTCCTCATGCTGTGACGTTGCAACAAGGTGGAATTCAACCCTACATATGTTAGACCGCCTTTACGAACAGCGAAAGGCCATCACAGATTCCTGATGTTACAAGCGGATAAAGGTACTCCCCTGTGTAACTTAGATGTCAGCCATTGGCAGCTCATGCGTGACACCTGCCGCTGCCCTTTGCTCAGGCCCTTTGAGGAGGCCACGCTATTCGTGAGTCGGCAGGACTATGGGATGAACGACGTCATTCCTCTGTTGCACGTCCTGGAACAAATGCTGTTAACAATGGCTGGTCAGGGTGCGGTAGACGTGGCGCACAGATCTCAACGCCCACATGACCCCTGTGGGGGGCAGGACAGGAAGAAGAGGAGGAGGAAGAGGAGGACATTGGTGCTCAGGAATTGAGTGAAATGGGTGGTTTTTCCACTCAGCGGACAGGAGTGGAGGAGCAGGAGCATCTGGTAGAGGAGGAGGAGGAGGAGACAGAGGACCCAGACGCACCGTGGCAGTATGCTGTGGAGATGGAGGCAGGGAGTCCCTCGCATTCCTTGGCACAAATGGCCCATAGCATGCTCGGTTTGCTTGCGTAGCGACAGCCGAATAATAACCATCAGACAGAAGGATGACTTTTGGCTGTCCACCTTGTGTGGACCCTCGCTACCGTTCAAAAATGGTGGCCTTTTTCACACCTGCTGAGAGGGAGGCCAAAATAACGTACTATAAAAACCACCTATGTAGTCAGTTGGTCTCTGCCTTTCTGCGCCAACGTCCATCCTCAGACACTGTGGGCCCTGTGCGCTCGCGTTCCGCTGCCATGGCAGCAGGGGAGGGGTGGGGTGGTAGGAGCAGTGGCAGCTCCACCAGCAGCGGCTGCCTCAGTCTGCAGTCGATGATGAGTAGCTTTCTTCACCAGCGCAGTGAGGAAACTACTAACCAGCCGCAGCAGCAGCAGCATCAGGTGGACCTGGAGCAGGACCTCAAACAACAGGCTTGGGCCTACTTGGACAGCACCCTGCCAACCGAGGTAGACAATCCCCTTGACTACTGGGCAACGAAACTTGACCTTTGGCCCCAACTAGCTGAATTTGCCCTTGAAAGGCTGTCATGGCCGGCCAGTAGCGTGGCATCGGAGCGCGTGTTTAGTGCGGCAGGAGGTATTGTAACTCCGCGGAGGACACGACTGTCCACCCAAAGTGTGGAGAGACTCACGTTTGTGAAAATGAATCAGGCGTGGATTAGTCTGGATTTCAAACCACCAGTTCCTGACACAACTGACTAAATCCGCCATGAATCATGCCCCAAACATGTGCCACTTTCAGGTCTCCTCACACTGCTGGTGTGTTCCATTTTTTGTCATAGGGTGCTGGCAGATTACGGGCCTCCCATTGCTGCTGCCAGGCCCGTAATCTGCCATGGGCCCCCGTACCGCCTCCTCATGCTGCTGCCAGGTCCAGAGTGTGTCATGGGTCCCTGTACGGCCTCCCATTGCTGCTGTCTCCATCGCCACACTCTGCCATGTGCCACTTTCAGGTCTCCTCACACTGCTGGTGTGTTCCATTTTTTCAAGGGTCATGCTGGCAGATTACGGGCCTCCCATTTCTGCTGCCAGGCCCGTAATCTGCCATGGGCCCCTGTACCGCCTCCTAATGCTGCTGCCAGGTCCAGAGTGTGTCATGGGTCCCTGTACGGCCTCCCATTGCTGCTGTCTCCATCGCCACACTCTGCCATGTGCCACTTTCAGGTCTCCTCACACTGCTGGTGGGGTTCCATTTTTGTCATAGGGTGCTGTATGGCCTCCCATTGCTGCTGCCTCCACCGCCACACTGTGGCTCCACACTCTGGTTTTGGCCCCGTGACTGCCCAAATGAGTGAAGTGTGCGGTGATTCTAAGATCGACGGCACTCATCTGCATGTCATACTGACTGACAGTATTATTTCTCTTCCCCAGCAGACTCCAAGGGCATTTAAATTAAAGGTACAGTGTTCTGCACTAATATTAAGGCTCTCTGAAGCCTAGAAAACCACCCTTTTATAAGTTAAATTCGCAGCGAATATATTCGCATCGAATCGAATTTATTCCTCGAATTCGCCGAATCGAATTTTTGAATACTTCGCTCATCTCTAAATAATAATAATAATAATAATAATTATCTTGTAAACACAAAGGAAATCTCTACTAATCTAGAAGAACTACTTCTTAAATATCAGGTATCCCTAATGCACGATTTCCTCTAATTCCTGTAAAAAGTTTTCAATAATTTTCTGTCCCAGTGACAATGGTCACCAGGACAAAGAGGGTGAATAGGCTTAGCAGTAGAGCGGTGTCCCTTTTGGCTACCAGCAGTTGTGTGCCCTCAGTCTCAGATACAAATAATTTTACGATTGTCCTGCCTACTCATACAGTGGGGCAAAAAAGTATTTAGTCAGCCACAAATTGTGCAAGTTCTCCCACTTAAAAAGATGAGAGAGGCCTGTAATTGGCATCATAGGTAGACCTCAACTATAGAGACAAAATGAGAAACAAAATCCAGACAATCACATTGGCTGATTTGGAAAGAATTTATTTGCAAATTATGGTGGAAAATAAGTATTTGGTCAATATCAAAAAGTTCATCTCAATACTTTGTTATATATATCCTTTGTTGGCAATGACAGAGGTCAAAACGTTTCCTGTAAGTCTTCACAAGGTTGGCACACACTGTTGCTGATATGTTGACCCATTCCTCCATGCAGATCTCCTCTAGAGCAGTGATGTTTTGGGGCTGTCGCTGGGCAACACGGACTTTCAACTCCCTCCAAAGGTTTTCTATGGGGTTGAGAGCTGGAGACTGGCTAGCCCACTCCAGGACCTTGAAATGCTTCTTACGAAGCCACTCCTTTGTTGCCCGGGCAGTATGTTTGGGATCATTGTCATGTTGGAAGACCCAGCCACATTTCATCTTCAATGCCCTTGCTGATGGATGGAGGTTTGCACTCAAAATCTCATGATACATGGCCCCATTCATTCTGTCCTGTACATGGATCAGTCGTCCTGGTCCCTTTGCGGAGAAACAGCCCCAAAGCTTGATGTTGCCACCCCCATGCTTCACAATAGGTATGGTGTTATTTGGATGCAACTCCGCATTCTCTCTCCTCCAAACACGACGAGTTGTGTTTCTACCAAACAGTTCTATTTTGGTTTCATCTGACCATATGACATTCTCCCAATCCTCTTCTGGATCATCCAAATGCTCTCTAGCAAACTTCAGATGGGCTCAGACATGTACTGGCTTAAGCAGGCGGACACGTCTGGCACTGCAGGATCTGAGTCCCTGGCGGTGTAGTGTGTTACTGATGGTAACCTTTGTTACGTTGGTCCCAGCTCTCTGCAGGTCATTCACTAGGTCCCCCCGTATGGTCCTGGGATTTTTGCTCACTGTTCTTGTGATCATTTTGACCCCACGGGGTGAGATCTTGCGTGGAGCCCCAGATCGAGGGAGATTATCAGTGGTCTTGTATATCTTCCATTTTCTAATTATTGCTCCCACAGTTGATTTTGTTCACACCAAGCTGCTTGCCTATTGCAGATTCAGTCTTCCCAGCCTGGTGCAGGTCTACAATTTTTTTCATTTCTGGTGTCCTTTGACAGCTCTTTGGTCTTCACCATAGTGGAGTTTGGAGTGTGACTGTTTGAGGTTGTGGACAGGTGTCTTTTATACTGATAACAAGTTCAAGCAGGTGCCATTGATACAGGTAACGAGTGCAGGACAGAGGAGCCTCTTAAAGAAGAAGGTACAGGTCTGTGAGAGCCAGAAATCTTGCTTGTTTGTAGGTGACCAAATACTTATTTTCCCCCATAATTTGCAAATAAATTCTTTCCAAATCAGCCAATGTGATTGTCTGGATTTTGTTTCTCATTTTGTCTCTCATAGTTGAGGTCTACCTATGATGCCAATTACAGGCCTCTCTCATCTTAAGTAGGAGAACTTGCACAACTGGTGGCTGACTAAATACTTTTTTTGCCCCACTGTGTATATAGATAGATAGATAGATAGATGGATAGATACATTCATTTTAATCTGGCAGCTTGATCATTGAGGATGGAATATATAGGTCTGATTCACCATAAGGTTCACACCATCGTGTTAGAAAATATACCTGTGTTTTCCTCAAATCACTTAATGCATTTTTAGAGCTTTCTTAATGAGTTGCACTAAAAGTTAACACAATGCAGTCATGTTCTATGTGCTTTTTGCTTGCATTTTACAAGTATGTTCTGCCTCCAGGCACATGGGAAATTTAGACGTGACTTGAAAAATGTACTACTAATTAGAATGCATTTGTGCGTTTCAGTGCATTTTTGCAAGTATACAGTACAGTACTTGCACTTTCAGTACTTTCCTTGGGCACATATATGTCTGCTATAGTGCATGAATAGTTCTTAAGATTTATCTGGACTAGGTCTGTTGGATATGAATTCAGGTGTCATTGGCTATATGCTTGCAGTTGCCCTAGGTTCACACCTATTCAAATTTCAGTGTGTTTTCCAGTTTGCAGACATGCACTAAGGTCCATTTAATATGATTTCCTATGGATCTACAGTTGCAAGAAAAAGTATGTGAACCCCTTGGGATTACGTGGAGTTTTGCATGAATTGGGCATAAAATGTGCTCTGAACGTCATCTAAGTCACAACAATAGAAGAACACAGTCTGCTGAACATAATACTACACAAACATTAGATGTTGCCATGGTTTAATTGCACATAACATGTAAACATTCATAGTGCAGGGAGGAAAAAGTATGTGAACCTTTGGACTTAATAACTGGTTGACTGTCCTTTGGCAGCAATAACCTCAACCAAACGTTTCCTGTAGTTGCAGATCAGGCCTGCACAATGATCTGGAGTAATTTTGGACCACTCCTCTTCACAAAACTGTTTCAGTATAGCAATACTCTTGGGATGTCTGGTGTGAATCGCTCTCTTAAGGTCATGCCACAGCATTTCAATCGGGTTGAGGTCAGGACTCTGGCTGGGCCACTCCAGAAGGCGTATTCTGTGCTGTTACAGCCATTGTTTTGTTGAATTACTTGTATGCTTTGGGTCATTGCCCTGTTGCATCACCCATCCTCTGCGGAGCTTCAGTTGGCGGACAGATGTTCGTACGTTTTCCTGCAAAATGTCTTGATAAACTCTGGAATTCATTTTCCCATCAATGACAACAATCCGTCCAGGCCCTGAGGCAGCAAAGCAGCCCCAAACCATGATGCTCCCTCCGCCATGTTTTACAGTGGGGATGAGGTTTTGATGTTGGTGTTCTGCGCCTTTTTTTCTCCACACATAGTGTTGTGTGTTCTTCCCAAACAACTCAATCTTGGTTTCATCTGTCCACAGTATATTTTGCCAGTAGTGCTGTGGAACATCCAGGTGCTCTTTTGCAAACTTCAAACGTGCTGCAATATTCTTTTTGGACAGCAATGGCTTCCTCCGTGGTGTCCTCCCATGTACTCCATTCTTGTTTAATGTTTTCCTTATTGTAGATGCGTCAACAAAAATGTTAGCATGTGCCAGAGATTTCTGTAGGTCTTTAGCTGACACTCTGGAATTCTTCTTTACCTCATGCAGCATTCTGCGCTGTGCTCTTGCAGTCATTTTTACAGGACGACCACGCCTAGGGAGAGTAGCAACAGTGCTAAACTTTCTCCATTTGTAGACAGTCTGTCTTACCGTGGACACATGAACATCCAGGCTTTTGGAGATACTTTTGTAACCCTTTCCAGCTTCATGCAAGTCAACAATTCTTGATCGTAGGTCTTCTGAGAGCTCTTTTCTGCGAGGCATGGTCCACATCAGACAGTGCTTCTTGAAACCAGTAAACCCAAAACAGGTGTGTGTGTTTTTAAGGGCAGGACAGCTGTCAGCAACACATCCAATATCATCACACTGATTGGAGTCAAGTTTGGCTCACTCCTGGCTCCAGTTAGCTCTGGGAGAAGTCATTAAGCTAGGGCCTCACATACTTTTTCCTCCCTGCACTGTGATGTTTACATGTTTCCCATGGGCCGTAATTGTTACCCTTGATATTTTTCCTGAAAATCAAGTATTTTCACACAAAAAAGGTATTGCATTAAACACATGTTTTGCTATACACATCTTTGTATGTATTGGAACAAATATAAAACAGAGGCAGAAAAGCAAATATTTTTGTCACACAAAACCCCAAAAATGGGCTGGACGAAAAAAGTATTGGCACCCTTAATTAATATTTGGTTGCACACCCTTTGGAAAACATACTGAAATCAGTTGCTTCCTATAACCATGCTTGGATGAGCGTTCAGACCTCTCACCCGGAATTTTGGACCACTCTTCCTTTGCAGAAACAGCTCCAGGTCTCTCGCTTATTGGAAGGACACCTTTTCCCAACAGCAATTTTAATAGATCTCCACAGGTGTTCAATGGGATTTAGATCTGGGCTCATTGCTGGCCACTTCAAACTCTCCAGCGCTTCTTTGCCATCCATTTCTGAGTGCTTTTTGACGTATGTTTGGGGTCATTGTCCTGCTGGAAGACCCAGGATCTTGGACGCAAACCCTTTTTCTGACACTGGGCCCTACAGTGCGACCCCCAAAATCCTTTGGTAATCCTCAGATTTCATGATGCCTTGCACACAGTCAAGGCACCCAGTGCCAGAGGCAGGCATCATTGAACCTGCATTTTTACCGTAGGTACTGTGTTTTGTTCTTTGTAGGCCTCATTCCGTTTTCGGTAAACTAGAATGATGATGTGCTTTACCGAAAAGCTCTATCTTGGTCTCATCTGTCACAAAGACGTTTTCCCAGAAGGCTTTTGGCTTACTCAAGTACATTTTGGCAAACTGTAGTCTTGCTTTTTTATGTCTCTGTGTCAGCAGTGGGGGTCCTCCTGGGTCTCCTGCCATAGCGTTTCATTTCATTTAAATGTCGACGGATAGTTCGCGCTGACACTGTGCTCCCTTGCAGGACAGCTTGAATGTCTTTGGAA